CCTAGGTATCTCATCTTATTTTGCTACTATTCAAAGTTATATATTTTAAATGTATTATTTTTTACATATTGTTGCTGGTATGTAAACAGCTAGTTATTTTTATATATACTAATTTGTATCTAACTATTTAAACAATATTTTGCACAATAACAATTTTTTAAAATTAGATTTTGGAATTTCTAATATTAGCAATCATTAACTGTGTATGATGACTGTTTTTTATTTCTCATTCTTATACTCTATTTCCTTCTCTTATTTTATTGTGTTTGCTAGGAGATTTAATTGGATGTTAAATAGGATCAGGGTCTCTGGATTCCAGTGTTGTATTTCTGACGTTTAAGGGCATCAAGTAGGATATTTAAAGTTTTTTGCTAATTAACTTGAAGAGGTTAATGAATTCTCTTTTATTTTTAATTAAGTAAAAATAAGATTTTCACGTATCTTGTAAAATAACTTTTATATACCTATTCAAGTCATTTTCTTACTTGTCTGTTAATGTAGTAAATTATATTAATAGATTTTCTAAAGTTAAAGTAATAATAAATTATTGGAATGAAATTAACTTAGTAATGATATATTGTATTTTTATATATTGCTGAAATCCATTTGCTAGTATTTTGTTTAGGAGTCTTGCATCCATGTTTATAAATGAAATAAGCCTATAGTCATTCTGTCTTGTGTTGTCCTTTTCTAGTTTTGTTATCAAGATGAAGAGATGGGGAATATTCACTTTATTCTGTAATATCTAGAAGAATTTGCATATGGCTGAAAGAATCTTGAAAGTTTTTAAAGCTTATTTGTTATGTTACCTCGACCTGGCGTTTTTTCTTTTTTTGGAAGATTTTATATTAATCTTCTATCTTTTTAAATACATTTAGTAAATATGTTTTTTTCTGGAAGTTTCTTTGTGTTGTATAAATTTGTTTATATGAAACTGTTTAGTTGATTCTCTTATTTTCTTTTGAAGACTTCATTTTCTTGTGGAGACAATTTTCCTCATTGGCTCCTTTTGCACAGAAAAAAAGATTTTTTTTTAATTTTTTACATTTGAATCATATGGGATATAATTTCTCATTTTTCTGAGTGTACAGGTTGCAGAATCACATTGGTCATGCAGTGACGTATATACACACAGCAATAATGACGTCTATTTTATTCTTCTGTCCTTCTATTCCCCCCTTCCCCTCCCCTCCCCTCCCATCACTTCTCTCTACCTAATCTAATGTGACCCACTTCTTTTTTTTTTCCCCTCACATCGTCATACCTGTATTCTGTATAACGAAGGGGGTCTCCTTCCTTCTTCCATGCAATTCTCCTTCTCCCTCCCTCTCCCTCCCACCTCTCTTCCCTATCTAGAGGTAAGTTTCTTCTCATGCTCCTCCTCCCTACCCCTGAAAAAAGGAGATTTTTACCTAGCTACTGGCACTGAGTCGGCAGCGCATTCAAATGTACAAGCTTTCTGTTGAATTTTCAGGTTCAGCTCCCCCTCGGCACCGGTCTTTGTCTTCCACTGCACACACTGCCATTATCCTCAGAGTTCCAGGGTCTGGTTGATGGTATTTCCCATCAGGTAATCCTTAGAGCTCTACTCACTTAACATTTGGTTTAAACTCTCTTTTCAGGATTTCCTTCACATTGTAGGGATTCCAGTAATGCACATGCATTTACGGATTTGTAGAGGAAAAGCTTTTCAAATATGGTCTACTATATTTTGAGAAGCTGAAGCCTAATTGTTCTGATTTTCTATCAACCTTACTTAAGTGACTTCACTTCTGTGAGCCTCACTTTCCTCATCTTTAAAATGGGCATCTCTATTCTTATCTCCTGGACTAGACAAAGGATGTCACATAGCGAGCACTGAGTGAAGGCTAGTCCTATAATTAGTGTTATCTGTTAATAAGAACTGCCCAGTGGTTATAGACTATCTAGTCCATGATGACTTATTTCTAAGATCTTAAACGTAGCTTTTGCATTTTCTCAGACATTAGGTGGATAAACCTGGATTGCTTTTGACGGGGTGTGTGTTTCCTTTCAAGGTGCTCTGGAACATGCAGGCTTCTTGATTCTCTAATCTGAAAGTCTCTGTCCATGTGTGTTATCAGCCAGGTCCTCTCAAATACAGCCATCATTCTTTCAGCACTGAGATTGAAAAGCGCATTTTAAAACTCTTTAGGCTAAAAAAACTTCTGCTTGGAGTCCATGTATTGACCCCCTGGGGCAAGACTATGATAGTTTTTGACATTTAACCTGCCTGTGAGATACATAGGGAAAAATTATTACTTTCTCTTTACAGATGGAAAAGTTGAGGTACAGAAAATTTAAGTTGTATACCTTGGGCTATTAGATTTGAAAAATGTCACCTTGTTCTGGTCTGCATGTTGGTGGCTGAGGTCGTGCTTCTGGTTTTCCAGGTTGCTCCCCCCCCCACCCCGCCCCCCACAGGATCCAGGAGCATTTGCTGTAATTGCCCTGCAACTATGATAGATTTGAGGAAATTGGATGACTGGAGAAGAAGATTTGTACACTAATGAGGTATATGCAAATCTCTAAGTGCACAAATGATGATGGATAGAAGTTATTCTAATATGTGAATTAGCTGTAAATGTATTTGTGTGATTTAATTAGGCTAGAAGATCTAACCTTAGAGGTTCTAAGTAATGAGACATTAATGTCACTGCTATTTTTTCAAGCCACCACAAAACCTAAGTATATGTCAAAAATGAATCAGCTAAGGATGGTTGTTTTATGGATGGTATTTCTAATATTATCATTGCCATTGCAAACCCAAGCAAAACAAATCTGGTTATTTCAGCAAAATCCCTGGTAAGCCACAGGGTCCATTCAGAGGCAAAGCTCACATCTTGGTAGGTGTGTTGTTAGCTGCTCAAATGAAGACTAAGTCTGTGTACTTAAATGACGCTGGGAAATTTGCCTTTAGGGTCCAGAGTGTTCCTGTACTCTACTTTCCCCCTGAAAAAAAGTACTCTGCTATTTCAAGGGTCAACTTTGAAGTTTTCTTTTTATTATCTGTCTTGTTGAACTTCATTTCTAGATCACTCTCTATGAGCATGCCTGTGCACTTGTGTGGCATTTCCCATTAGGTAATCTTTGTTCATTTAACATCTGGTTACATGCAGTGATTGTTCAACCCTGGTTGCACATTAGGATTACCCACCCCAACAATTACAGAGTTTCTATTCAGTAGTGATAACATTCAGTAGTGATAACATTGATAACAATGATAACATTGTTATTTTTTTCAAAAAATGTGTGTGTGTGTGTGTGTGTGTGTGTGTGTGTGTGTGTGTGTGTGTGATCCAATCTTACACTGTCTTCCTGGTCCTGGCTCTGCACTCCTATGAAAACATGGTGTTAGTAACTATCTCCAAACCTCCCATTAAAACCTCAGGAAACAGGTTGCCCAAACAGGCTGCCACTCAGCAACTCTGCTTTAGCAGATCCACATAAGATCCAGCTCCCCTCTACCTGTTTGGTAAGAGGAGTAGGCTAGCAGACCCCCTTTTTTCTCTCTGACTCCATATTTAGCTAGTATCTTCTTTCCCTGTGCACATCTGCTACCATCAGAAGAACCAGTTCCTTTCAGGTCCACATAACTGGTAATTCTAAGCAATATTTCTTCTTATTATTAGCTGGCAAGGAAACTATTACTTTCCTCTCCATAGATGCAGTATTTTGAAAGATTTGTTTATCAAACTTTGTTATTAATCCACTTTCAGATTTGTCAAATACATATTCAAATGCCAATCATATTTCATCAGTGCGAGATAACCAGGTTACCATACTGACTGGAGACAATCATTCCAGCCAAAAGGAAAGAAATGAACTATAATCAGTCTTTGCAGTGTCATCAACATGTTCCATTCAGCTTTTTAATATTGGACTCTTGCCTCATAATTTGCAGCTGATTATTATTTCTCTCCTCAGAGGGTGTTCATCTAAATAGGGGGAAAACTTGAAGCTAAAGAGATCAAATTCAAAAGGAAAATATGGTAGTTGCTAAGGAAAGAGCTGTAGGGGCTTTTAAAATAGCTATAGATATAGGTGTCTGTGTATGTATATCTATATCTATCACCCAAGAAAAATAGAACAAGTTTCAGAAAGATCATTGGATATTGAAAATGTTGCCAATGGCACCTCTGGTGTAATCATAGTTAAGACAATGATGATATGACAGGTGAACAAACCAGTGACAGTGATTAAAGAGGTGAGTGCTGTTGAATAGAAATTCTGTTCTAATTGGTGGGGTGGCAGAGTAATGCATCAGGAGATCTCAGTGTGCAGCCAGGGCTCAAAGTCACTGCATGTAATGGTCTATAGGCCTGTGGTTCTCAAATTTTAACTGTGCCAGAATCACATGGAAGACTTATTAAACTACAATTATTGGGCCCCAACTATTGAGTTTCTCACTCGGCAGGATTGGAATAGGAGCCAGCCTCTAACAAGCTCCCAGGTAATGCTGATGTAGTTGGTCTGAAGACTACATATTGGTACTCCACCTGAGGTAGTAACTTCCATGCCCATCTCCTACTAGACTTCAAGCCCTATGACAGGTAGGAGCCCTATGTTGTTTGATTGGTAGTACAATGTCCAACACATACTGCACACTTAAGTGATGGTATTGTATTACAGATTAGTACTGATCCTTCTTGACCTGTGAGGGGACTATGTCCCCATAAAAACATCATATATACACAATGAAGTTACGACATTTGCTGGTAAACAGGTGGAACTGAACATTATCATGCTAAATGAAATAAGCCAATCCCCCAAAACCAAAGGCAGAATGTTTTCTCTGATATGCGGATGCTAATACAAAATAAAGGGAGGTAGAAAGAATAGAAGTACTTTGGATTAGACAAAGGACAATGAAAGGAAGAAAGGGTGAATGGGATAGCAAAGATGTTAGAATGAATCAGACATCACTATCCCACGTGCATATATGATTACACAATTCTACCTCATGTACAACCAGAAGAATGAGAAGTTATACAGCATATATGCATAATATGTTCTACTATCATGGATAGCTAGTAAGAACAAATAAAAAAAAAATAAAATGCTTGGGACCAGAAAAAAAATCATGTTAAAAATATAGCAAATCAAAAATGCATTTAATACAGGTAACCTACCAAACATCATAGCTTAGCAACATGGTACAGTATGGAGTATTGGTTGTTTACCTTCATGATTGTGTAACTATTCAAAAACTGTGGCTTAAGAAAGTGTTGTACTGCATATCACTAGCCAGAAAAGATCAAAACTCAAAATTTGAAGGGCAATTTCTAACCTAATGCATATCATTCTTCTACAATCACATGTTGAACCATTGTAAGTCAGGGAACCTCTGTGTATTTGATTTTGTATACAAAGGAGTGTTAGGTGAGTTTGATCACAAACACAAGTTCCAGGCCTCAATTATTCCTTTAGTGGCACCAAACTGAACTTTCTAGACTTGCAAGGCTATTATGAGACCAGATCTTTAACTGGCTGTCGCTCCTCTAAGGCTTTCAGCAGAGTCCCATCCTCAAAAGACTCACCCTGAGAACTCTGAAGCTCTGTTTTCACCAAGCACACTGTATTTTCTATTTTGAAGACATCAAATATGTCTGTTTCAGCACTTTCTTACTAATTATTTCAGGAAAAATTTTTATATCTTACGTTTTTATTAATTAATTGGACAATGAGGTTCTAATGGTTTTTTAATCTATGGATGGAAGAAAATTGATCGTGATTTAAAAAGTAGTTGCACCGTCTAAAGGATACCATAAACATTCTTGCTTTTCTCTTTGCTGGGTCCAGGAAACACATTTTAAGAAGTTTACCAGAACAGTCTTCATTTAGCAAAGTATTACTGACCATGTAGAATCTGTGTAAAAGCAGCGGCTGTGTGCAGTCCACCTGGCATCAGGTCAGGGAACACAGGGAGGAGCAAGATCCAGTCCCAGCCCTTCAAGAGCCCACAAGCCCAGGGTGACTATTTTTTCATCTGCACTGCCCAGAACAGCATGAAAGGGAAGCCCATGGTCCAGGTGAAGAAAGAGATGCAATAGCTGGTGTGTGTATGTTGGATAGGGGATCCAACCCAAAGAAAGGAGACATTTTTACTACTGGCTGGGTATATCCTTCTGAAATAAAATTTAAAAAATAAAATGGAGACCTCTTAGAACCCAAATGATGAGCAAGTTCCATTTAAGAAAAACACAGGGAATAGAATTCCATCATAAAATTAATCATTGTTTCAAGAAGATAAAATGCAAGAGTAGGATCCTCAGGATTTTTGTTGGTTGGTGGGTGCTTCTATCTCACCCCCCACATCCTCCCTATATCTGTGCAAACACACACCCATCAAGTCTTCTCCTGCAATTTTTTTCAAGTGGATCCTTTGTTTGCTCTGCTGTACATCCCAGCGTCAGCCACTCTGACTCCCCTGCAGACATTAAGGATAAGGAAGCAATTACACTCTTGAAAAAGCACATTATAGACACTTTACATGTCCATTCAAACCCTTTCCCCTCACAAGTCTTGCCTTTGGCTGCTCTAGATAGGAGGCCATTTTAAAGCCATTATGTGTGTGTGTGTGTGTGTGTGTGTGTGTGTGTGTGCAATTGTAGCTTCAGAAAGCATTTATATAGTTAGAATCTTATCTTTGTCTTCTGCTACTATAACAACAAAAAGGATTATGATACTTTAAGTATGGGATATTACTTTTGAAAACCAAAAAAGATTTATCAACTCCCCAATTATAATTTCTTGGGTTTTCATAGACTAAAAAGAATACATTCTCTTGTAAAACAAGTTTTTTTTTTCATTTCTTTTTTTTTAAACTTCATTGATTTTTAGATGGGCTTGTGGTTAGGGTACACACATTGATTTCTATTCAGAAATACCTCTGGAGTTCTCTAAGAGGGACCAGTGTACTTGTCTTACTAATAGAGTTATGGTGAAATAATTTTAATTTAAACAGGATATTTTTACTTTACTATTGAGCATGTTTTAGAATATATTTTTTGGAATCATTTTTAATCTTCAGTGAAAGCAAGATGTGCATTTCTTTTTGTTTGTTTCTAGACTAATTTTGTACATCTTTTTTTTTTAATTTTGTACATCTTTTTCAGGAACTTGGTTTGAGAAAAAGCATTTTTCCCCTTTCTTTTTATATGTCTGCAGAATTTTTGAAACTATTTTGTATATAATGCAGTGTCTCTGTAGATGCCTGGTTCGGGCTTGACTCTCATCCCCAAATGAGCTCCATTTAAAAATAACTCATTTACCCTCTGAACAAAAACATGGCCTAGCAGCATGCATAGCTACAATGTTCATTCAACTCAAGAAGAACAAGAAATGAGAAGAGACAGCAACACAAGATGGACACAATATTATCTCAAGGCTTTTGTTTGGAGCAGTGTAATGTAGAAGGAAACTTTGCATCTATGTCCAAGGGTTGTTGTAAGAATTAAATTAATAACTTAGTTAATAATACACATAAAGAAACTGTAAAAGTGCCAGCCCTATAAGTGCTCAACAATGGTTAGCTAGTGTTTTCATTATCTGAAAAAAATAAAACTGAATTTAAAAATAGCATTTATACCCAGGGTTCTGAGATGGAGGAATCTGGCGAAGGATTGTCAACACCGATTTCAAGTTTATTTTAAATGCTCCACTCCCTTGCTTTTTAAACTTCCACCCTTGTAGGTAGAAGTCAATATATTTCTCCTGCTCAGTTGCTGTCCACATGGGAAACGGAACAGCCTCTCCCCCTCCCAACTGCCCACCCTATTAAGGAGATGGTGGCCTCCAAGGCACACACAAAACAAATAATGATAATAAAAAAATCCTTTCTTGAGGCCATTCTTTTATAAGCCCCGGTTTGTTGTTGACTGGTCAGTAGTTCATCAGTCAGAGGGTCCTGGGTTTGGGGCTACATAAGCAGGCCTCTCTCCAACAGTATGACTCTGCTAATTGGGATGAGAAGTTAATCTCTCTCAAACTGAACCCAGCTGAGTCTCTGAGAGCAATGATGTATTTAAAAGATCTCTAGCAGTCCAGGGCGTGTGGCACTAACCGGATTTAGCTCATTAGCAAATCCACAAGGCCCTGCTGACACTGCACCCAGAATAAAATACATGAGGCCAGCCCGTACCCCGTGGGCACCTACAGCATGACTACATAATAAAAAGGCATTTATTAATAATCTCATTGGTCACACAATACAAAGGAAGGCTACAAGAAGTCAAATGCTGTCATTTGTCGTGACTAGAAAGGCATAATTAAAATAAGTGCCATGTGATTAACCTTTGAAAAATTAATCTGGTATTTTAAAAAAAGGCACAAAAACAAGGAAGACAGGCTCTTAAAGTAAATTTAATACAATAGGCAGCTGTGGTATGAACTTGGATCAAATTCCATGTGCTTGTGAAATGTTAACATCGTTGACAGCAAAGAGCAATTAGCAAAGTTGGGAAGCAGGGTGTCTATTATTAAAGATAACAGCAGGCCACAGAGAGGCAGTGTGCATAGGGCTAAAGAGCTTAGTTAGGATTTGGTGTTACCCATCTGGGTTTGAGTTCAGATTCTTCCCTTTACTGCCTACATGTGCTTGAGGCGTTTTCTTACCTTCTTAGTAACTCCATTTCTGCATCTATATTAGCAAATTTCACGTGATTCTTGGATGATTAAATAAGATTGTAAGTATAAGGCTCTTAGCATAAAGTGAGGCGCATTATAAATACTCAAATAATCTTAGTGATGATGAAAATATTTGTTAATTTAGGTCCTCGTGATACAACGATAAGTTCACGATCTATGGAAAACATGGTGTGTACCCTGGGGAACATTGAAGGCAGCTGACACTCAGAGGAAGCCACTTTGTTGTTGTTGTTTTTCTTGTGTGGAAAGGCAAATCAACATTGCCAGATATTATTTTTACAAATGATGCCAGAAACACTAACTTGCATGAGGAATTCTGTTTTTAAGAACACTGTATTGTATACTGGCTATGTCCATCCCTTTGTCCGTGGCTGGGATTAGGAGACAAATGACACCCACCTCAGTTGTAAAATTTAAGGGAATACCCTAAATTCTGTAATTGAGATAAATGGTATCTTAACACAGTATTTTAAAAATCAAAATTGAAGGGAAAAACTCAATTTGCAAGAATATTAAACTCTTATGTGAAGGTGGGATCACTATTACAAAGTTTTCCTTTTGTCTCTGCCTCCAGTGTGGCTCTACACAGCATTGCCTTCAGCTTCCAGTTGGTGCCTCCAGTCTGGGCTTGAACATGCCATGGCCACTGTACTGCCAGGCTGAACCAGTTTTGCATTGGCTCAAATCAAGGAACAGCCAGGATGTGCCCTAAAACAAAACAGTTCAGTAAATTATCAACTAATATTAAGGACATTTTAAGCTCCATCTTTGAAAACAACTCTACTAATGTCAACTAAGAAGGAATTTATGAAAAGTCTGGATTAATCTATGTATTTATAAATAAAAATGTATATTTCTTTCCAATACAGGGTTACCTAAAACACATATGACCAACAAGATAGTTTCACCTGGATGACCTAGTTTTATGAACAGAAAGGAAGAGATTTATAATTAGGCGCTAAGGGCAGGAGTTCTTGAGTGTAAAAATCTCTTGAAATCATATGCAACATTTTGAGCGGGTTGTTTATACTTTTCCTCAGATCCTTAGAAGGGTCCAGGACCTTGGAATCTCAAGAGTCATTGTAATACAACATAAAGAAGAGAACATAGACTTTGGAGCCAGCCAGACCTGACTTTTACCTGTTGTAATCCCTTGGACAATTCAAATAATCACTTTGTTATTTTCCTTATCTGTAAAATAGAACAATCTCAGAGGTTTGCTGTAGAGACAAAGTTGATGATACATCAGGTTCTCTCATATTCTTGGTCTGGATGTGGACATCTCATATGTGGGATCATTTAGCATATTCATTTCAAAGCACTCCCTGCCAACACCATTACAAAGATATGGTCACCTTTCAGTAAGTTAAGTATGTTCTTTTATTTATGCTATTAATTGACTTGGTTCATCTTTTCTTCAAAAGCAGCAAGAAATGTAGCTTCACTTTGACGACAATTAACACAAATCCTGAATTCAGTAGGACTCAAATTAGAAAAATCTAACTATCCTTGAAATAGCAAGACTTTCTTTTAAATTTCCTCTTTAGAAATAAACAACATTAAAACAATAGACTGTACTTTTTATTACACACATGGCAGGAGAATAACTACTGACCAGTCAGCAGTTACAAGCAATAGCCCAGGGTGCTGCAGGATGAGGCCCAATAGAATCAGCAGTAAAATTCAACTTTAGCAGCCAGGTTTTCTGGTGCTAACTTTTACAATAATGTTCCCAATGTTCCTATATAATGCAGATGCTCCCAAAGTGACCAACAACATCGTAACTCAGTGGCTCTGGGTTCAAATCCCATTCCCACCACAAATCTGCAGAGTGACTCGGGGCAAGTTCAATTAACTTATCCAGGCCTTGGTTTCACCCGCTGTAAATTACTTCCCAGAGGGCTTCCCACTGGAGCCCTGTCATGTGCATTTAAGAAAAATGCGAAACTTGCATAGCTTTGCTATCCTCTGCAATACATCTTTATTTTATGTTCTTTTCCCTTCCTTCTGTTCTTCTAGAAAGTGGCTAGGATTTCTCTTTTAATCAGGAAGCCATTTTTTATCATCAACCAAAGTGTAAAATCTCTACCAGTTAGAATTGGATATTTATGGCAGGTTCATCTGATTGGAACTTAACTCTATTTCATTAATATGGAGAAATGTCACCCTTTTAACTAATGAAATGTATCCATAATAGAGCTATATTTTTAAAGGTGTATCGTCAGAAATGGCCGTACACAGAGTGCCCTTCAGAGTGCCTGCAGGTCTCTCCCAGCAGTCTCTCTTCTCCCTTGTCTCCATTCTTTCCCCAAGTGAAAATTTCAGTTTAATGAAAGAGGCTTGTTTCAATGTGAAGAAAGACCATTTCCACTCCTTCTTCATCTGAGGAAACATTTTCTGTACTAGCCTATCACCTTGATATATTCACAAAATCTTTAACTAAATACTTTAATGCCCACAGATGATAATCTTGAATACACCTTGGAGAAGAGCAGAGGATTTGTAAAAACATGGGGAGTCCGTTAATTTTGAGGTTGTTCAGCCTCACTCACAGTTTTCTCTGCCATGCCCCTTCTTCCTATGTTATTAAGACTCCTCTCCCCCTGTGCAAGCTTTCTAAAACATCACACTGAATCACACTTGGTAGCCAAAAAGACTTGACAGATGCAAACAGTAGAGGGTTCAAAAGAAACCACTGAACAGAACGTAGCCTTGAAGTGGCCCTCTTAGTTTTGCAAATTTGGGCTGACTGGTTCAGTAAGTAGAGCCAAACCATGAGCACAGAGGCAGAATGCTCTATGGAGAAGTTGGTTTCTTCATCTTCCCTTCTTTCCTTTCTGTTCCTTCATTTTTTCCTTTTTTTCTTCTCTCCCTACTTCCTCTACCTTTCCTCATTCACTTAATTTCCTTCTTAGGGTCCAAAATTTCCAAACACAGTATTAGGCCCTGGGAATACAAAAATTAATGTCCAGAGGGAGCCTCTGGTTTAGTGACAGGAGGTGGTCATACAGTAAATAAGCACAACAGTGGAACTCTCTATACAGGTACTTTGTTGGTCCAAAGGTGAAGGGATCGCCTCTACTTACCTGAATAAAGGAAGCACACAACTTCAAAGTGGCTTGTTGAAGAAGCAACTATGAAACTTAAGGTGGTGCACCAGCCACCTTAAGTCAGTGCAGAGGAGAAGACCCTGGAGGCAGAAGAGACGGCAGTGTTAGAAAATGATGGCAGGCAATCCAGAGGCAGCATTGTGCACCAGCCACCTTAAGTCGGTGGTATAGGAGAACTTGGGCATGGGGACAGAATTTAGAACTAGACAGAGAAGACACTGGGACCAGAGCAAGGGAAGGTACCAAAGTAGATTGGACAAATAGGTTTGAAGCCCAACTATGGGCCAGGGCTGGGATGCAGTCCACACTCCCATGAAGTTCCTATTAATTGATGAAAAGACAGACAATGAAGAAGTAAACAAATAATCAGTCAGATCCCAACAAGTGCTATTAAGAAAATAAATCAGAACAAGATTGAATGGGAAAGAAAGCATTGGGAGTATTCTCCTTCAGGCAAAGCAAGCTGGGATGGTCTCTATAAGGGGGTAGCATGCAAAAGAATATGTACTTTTCCAAAGAGTATTTCCAGGTGTGACCTAGACATCTGTGCTTTTTAAAAGCATCCCAGTATTTTCTTGTGAAAATGGGCACAGAGGCCATTGGACATTTCACTTGGAGCAGGGTAGCCTGGCTGAGGGCATGTCCTGTAAAAGTTTGTTCATGATGAGCAGCGCAGGCACATGCATTGGATGTGGAGACTAAAGCTTGGAGACTTTATACCAGAGGCAGGGAGCCCTTGGGGGAGATTTGGCAGTGTGGAGTACTGGCAGGGGGAATTATATCCATGGTCTTCAGCCTGCAAAGGTAGAGAAGACTTGCTGAACTGGCATCAACAGAGCTCAAAAATTTAGGAACCAAAGGTGTGGAGGTAAAGATCCTAACAGTCAGCGGACACCACATATTCGAAGAAACCTTCTCCCAAAACATGGAATTCATTTTAGCTTTGCTAACGTGATGTATTCTAGGGTTCAGCAGACTATTTCCATAAGAAGGACAAAGAGCTAATATTTTAGGTTTCACAAGTCATACAGTCTCTGTCACAAGGACTCTGGCATTGCAGCTCAAGGGCTACCGATGACAGAATAAAAATGAGCAGGTGGGACTGTCTTTCAGTAAGACCTTCTTTACAAAAACAGGCACCTGACAGGTTTGGCCCATGGGTGGTAGTTTGCCAGTCCCTGCTCTAATCTGTTTGGGAGATTCTTTTAATTGAGGAGCTCACATTCTCCCTTTCCAGGGTTAGGTCCCAAACACTCTTGGACACCAGCAGAGCTTCCGACCTGACAAAATTCCCACACTTTCCCCCTCTACAACCTTTTCTCCCTGTCCCTTGCTCTTAATCTCAGAGGTCTCAGAAGTTCTCTGGGACCTTCTCACCATCCTCAGATAGAGTCAGCATTCACCAAACCAAATTTAGATCATATGGAAGGAACTCAAGTCCCAGAGACATCGGGATGCAAATACGACTGTTTGTAAGACAACTATTTGTGTTCTATCTCCCAAAAGTTCCGAGTAACAACCCAATATACCTAGTAATGGGGTAGACTCACCCTTACCTAACTATGAACACGTGCATTTCTTATTTATACACAAAGGGATATTTAAGTATTCAACTCTAATTGTATGGTGTATTAGCCAGAACCCAGACTCTCTACTCAGATGGCCTGAGGAAAATACTGGTTCATATTCTTCTAGCTACTACTTAACCTCTCTGGACCTCAACTTTTTAATCTGTATAATGGGAATGAGGGTAGTATCTACCTTTTTGAATGGTTGGGATAATCAACTAAAGTACCAGGTGCTCTATAAATTCTATATAACAACCAGCTATGATTGGTCATTCATTTGGCAAGTGTTTATTGGGTTTGTCCATTATGCCTGTCACAGACAGAGCTGATCAGAGTACAGCACTGTCTATTTATACTGTCTAAAGGGTGGACATAGATGAACAACAAATTCTATGATGGAGGATATTGTGATGGTCTCCATGAAGTGTCATAGAAGAACAAAGGAGAAGAGAGGAAGTACATTGGGGCAGACAAGTCTTCCAGAAGCTGGAGTCTTGTTCTTGACTAATATCTGCACACTGCATTGTTAGGCTGTGCAAAAAATACCCTGGTGAATATTTGTACAAAAAGGTGTTTTCAACATAAAAATATTTAAAATGTACATCTTTCAAAATCCTGTTTATCCCTCTCAACTAAATTGTAAACAAACAGCACTTTCCTAAAGAAAAGGAGAGTAAATGGGCTTTTGGAAGAACAGGAAGTGAGGCTAAGCCCTGATAGTGCACCTGTGCTGTGAAGAACCAGACGTTATCTTTGGGTCTTGGGGAGTGGCACGGTGTGAACTGCACCTAATATCCCGAGCTGGTTTCCTAAGTCAATATCCCCACTGACAGGAAGCTATGGATGCACCAAGTGAAGCTGCTGAAAATAGATTCCAGTCTGGGAAAAATTCACTGAAGAATCTGCAAATGTGCCTGGCTTGTCTTGGAAAGACTGGGTTCTTTGTGATTCAACAAAGTAAAAGCTGGGGGCTGCCCCTCAAGACAAAGCCCTGGCCATGATAACCCAGCTCACCAGGTTCCAGATGCCCAGCACTTGAGGCAGAGTAGAGGGCGGTGAAAGGCAGGGTACACTAGTGTGCTGGGGTTGAGATAGGCGGCTGTGGCTTGTTGGCCACACACACACACACACAAACACCCTGGCTAATTCCAGCTCACCAGAAGCGTGACTCTGTAATGAGGGGCTGGTGGTAGCTCTGCAGCGTCCTTGCCCTCCTTTCTTGCTTAGTGGCTCATCACACTTTGATGGAGATGAACAATGGGGGGAGGGGCTAGGAGGCCAGTAGGTTAGACAAAGAATGAAACTGTGCCTTGGCCAGATCCACGCCAATTATCTCTGAATAAACGAATCCACAGCACAAGCTAAAGAACCGTCCCTTCCCTCACCCCATCCTACCCCACCTCATTTTATTTATTTTTGTCTTGGTCTGGAAAGTTGGACATATTCCCTGTAACGTCCTGGTACCCAGATGGCCTGTTTGAGTAAGCAGTGGGGAAGAAGGTCAATAATACATCAGCATGCAGAGTCTTGGCTAAGGTCAGTCCTGCATAAAATATACCATGACAACCTGAGGGCAAGTTTAAAATGGCGCTCCACAACGGGAGTGGGGGTGGTACAGATGCCGCCTTTGCATAATTGCTACAAAACTGACTTCTGTCCCATCAAAGTGTATTTTAATGGGTCGGTATAGTTAGGGTTTAGGAAAAGTTTTCTCCATAAATAGTGCTCAGGATCTATGTGAGGAGGTTTTTAAGAGTTTCTTTTTTAAGAGGATCTGTTGAGTTAGGGACTTTTTCTAAAATAATCAGTTCCAATTACCCCAAACAGGAACCCACTGGCTAAAATTCTAACCTATTAATTAATTTCTTTTTTCTCCAGGTGTGTTCGAACAGGATTCAAATGCTGAACTAGGTAATACTTATAAATTTATAACTGCCCTAAGATCCATATTCTTGAGAGGCATGTCTCAATTATATTTTAATTATGGTTATATAACTAATGAAGATAAACACAGAAAAATGCATGTAGAGTCACTTGAGATTTTGTAAGGGTTCTGCTTTTCTCGTCCTTTTCTGAGACTGGGGGGGAAACTCAGCAGCACCCTTTTAATGTAGAAATAGAAGAAAATACCATTTCATGTTGGGAATTTATTCAAATTGAAGGTGAATACTGACAAAAATATTCTTGAAGATTGATCCAGTTTGAAGCATGTTGTGCATGGGTTGACTGTTCAACTTGCAAGTAATTTGTAAAGCCAGAGTCAGTCTTGACTATGAAACATTGTATCACTGTGATTGGAATCAATAGTTCTTGCACTGTCATTTGTCACATATTTACAAGCTTGAAAAATAGTTCATTTTGTCCTCATCCCATAACTCAAAAGATTGAATCAGAGCCCTGGAGGGATCTGCCAACAGGACACATTCATTACTGATCACTGGTCTTGGTGAGGCTATAATCACAACCTTACCAAAAATAGAATATAAATAAAAATTAAAGAACTACCCATTTGGCACGCCCTTAAATATTTTTGGTTTCAAGTATTTCAAAATCTGCTGAGAGAATTCAATCACCTTGGTGACTTACCTCAGTGACCACAAAGAGAAAATTCATTGGAGCTGATTTTCCTATAATACTCTCAAAACATATCAAACATATGGTTGTTTTTTTTTAAATGAAGAAAAATTCAAACCTAGAGTTAATGGTCCAAAAACTTCATAAAGTATACTTCGTCTCGTCACCTCACATACAGTACATAAATGACCTCTATTCCCATGAAAGATTTGTAGAACACAGTTAAAATATAATGCCTTCAATTTTAAAATAAAAGATTTATGAATGATAGAACTTGTGTCTATGAAATCACTAATCCCAACTCTCTAATATTTCAGATGGAAAGTTCCATAAAATGAAAAGACTGCTCATAAAGTTGTACTACACCTGCTGTCAAAGGCGATCAGTAATGGAATTGCAAAGTGAATATTGAAAAGGATATGAGATATGCATTTTGGGTGAGAGTAACGTGTTTTAAGTCCTCTCTCCTCCACTACTGTATTGATAAGGTAGTTAATGATCAAAGTGCTGAAGAACCAATTCAGTTTCTTTAACCAAATCCTCAGATGGTAACAGAAGAACGCATTATTCATAAAATTTAGTTGCTTAAAATAACCCCAGACTCTAGGTTGACAGCTAGTTTTTTTCCAGGTATTTTCCTGACTAACTTCAACCTATGGGAGATCAATCCACTTCTTAAGGCTCAACCAGAAACCATCTAAAAACTAAAAATTGCCTTCCAAATGTTCAGTTGAGTTGTTCTGTGTGGATAAGACCTAAAATTCCTTTTTCTAGAACAAAGCTGAAATTAGTGTCATGTAATCTTCATTTTCCCATGAAAATCCCTTTAATTTGCTTGATTCTATGACTCTACCATTCATTGTAAGAAATATTTTCTCCATCAATATTGTCACTGAGAGTGGCTAAAATTCATTAGAAGTCACACTGAGATTTAAAAT